GTTCCCTTCCTGACATTTCTCTTTCACTTTTCTTGCTATCGCTAGCTCTATTGTCCCCTTGTTTTAGGCTTTAAAACAACTATGCCTTTACCTCTTGCAAAGACAATTGCAGTAAAATACAGCACCAAAACCTAACTTTCCAAGACTGAAAAATCAGTCCTTATTTTTCATGATCAGACCACCCTCCTTTGGATTTGGTTCCTGTCCCCCACAAACTATTTTGTTTGCCCTCACTGTCCCAGTGTTTAACACACCATGCAGAACTAGCCATGCTGATGCTGACTCACACAAGCTCTCCTCTACTACAACTCATGTATGTCAGCAAACCAGAAGTTTAGTCATGGCCAGGAATGGTATTTGCAAAGTATACCTACATAGGCAAAATATAAGCGTCATGATGACACCCAGCTGACTGAGACAGTGTCCCTGCTGGTTTAATGTTCAGTGTCCCTGAACATTAAACCAGTTCCTCACACAGTGCACCTTAGTCAGCACTGTTTCATTGGAAGAGCTTTGTCAGTGACTTCGCTTGTGTCCACTTCAGTAGGCTGGGCCATGGGAAGGCATTATTATACAGGGAAATAATTTTTCCAGCACAAACATGACTAAGGACCATTAGCTTTGAGATGGTCAACTTTCAGAAAAGGTGAACAACTAGTAGAACCAGAATGCAAGTGAAGCATTTTGCAAAGAAAATAAATATTCTGTTTCCTCCTATTGCTTCCCAATTTCTCTTTCCTTTCCCATGAAACTACTGAATTTCACAGGTTTAACTCTTGATAATAGTATAAAGGATAAGTACTTTTTATGACATCTTTTACAAAACTTGTTTTGTTTTCCTTCACAACAACTGCTCCAGCAATATAATTCCAGTCTTCAGGAATAAATAAGACAGAACTGACTCCAAAATACTACTTTTCTGAAACCTGTCCTAATTTTGGTATGATTTTGTATCATCAATTTCGTACTTTTAGAAAGAAAAAAATAACTGCCCCACTTCCAATCCACATATAAGTGATGCAAATTTGCTAGGAGGTTTATGTTTTATTATCATACATTAAAGTTATCTACTGTAGATAGTTCTGCTTTAATTTGTTTGCAGATTGCAAACAGGTTCATGTAACTCTGTATCCCTCAAAAAGTCAGACCAAACACCATCACACATCTTCCAAGCAGCTCACAGTTGAACAATGTAAATTTCTTTCAATTTCTACCCTCTTCTTCTCTCTGCAGTGTTGTTTTCAAGTTGTCTTGTTACTACTCTGAAACTTACAATTACAGGAAGATTTCTAAGCTCTTACAAAAGCCACATTTAATCAGTTTTCAAGGCAATGTTCATGCACTTAGAGGCAATGATTCCTGATGTTATTCACATCAGGAGCTCAGAGAAGCTTCACAGTTTGGTTTAACACTTGCTTGACAAAGATACACTGTTAACTCACAGCTGTACCATCCATTCATGCTCCCAGACTTGGTGTGGTGCCATTCACTGTCCAGGACACTTTGGAAACCTGTCTTTCTCATAAATACAGAAGCAGCTCTTTAGCCATGGATGGAGGAAAGTCTTATCATATCTAATGATGTAATCCTGAAACACATGGAATCACAGAATGTTAAGGTTTTGGAATGGACCTTAAAGATCATCTAGTCCCAACACCCCCTGCCGTGTGCAAGGACACTTACTTAAACACTGCCAGGGCTGGGGCATCCACGACCTCCCTGGACAATTTATTCCCTTGTTCCAGCACCTCACCACCCACACAGTAAAGAACTTCTTCCAAATATCTAACTTAAAATTCCCTTTGTTGAATTTGTACCTACTACCCTGTGTCTTATCACTACAGTTCCTGACAAAGAGCTCCCCTCCAGTTTCCCTCTAGGATTCTTCAGATACTGGAAAGCTGCAGCCACACAACCTTCTCTTCTCCAGACTGAACAGCCACAGCTTTCTCAGCCTGTGTTCATGGGGGAGGTGTTCCAGTCCTTTTATCACCTTCGAGGCCTCCTTTTGGCTAACTCCAACAGCTGCATGTTCTTCTTATGTTGGGGACACCAGAACTGCACACAGCGTTCCAGCTGGGGTCTAACCAGAGACGAGCAGAGGGGCAGAATTACCTCCCTCGCCCTGCTGACCCCAGAGCTGCTTTTGATGCAGCCCAAGTTCAATTGACTTTTTGCCTTGCGAGCGTACACTTGCCGGCTCACGTTGACTTTTTCATCAATCGTCACTCCCAAGTCTTTCAGCTCATCCTTCAGCTCTTCTGGCACCGGACTAACCTGGGGAGGGTCGGAGCACCGACCCCTCGGGCAGGGCAGGGCAGGGCAGGGCAGGGCAGGGCCGGCCCGGCAGCCAAGGGGATGGCGGCGGGCCGGCCTCCCCCGCCGAGCGGCTGACGGCGGGCGGGCTCCGCCGCAGGCCGAGGCCCGGCCCCGCCGGGCCCTGCCCCGCCGGGCCCTGCCGGCGCGGGCAGCCGCAGCCCCGCTTCCCCGCCCGCCGTGAGCCGGGGCGGGGCGGCTGCGAGGGGCGGCGCCTCCGCGATCCCCGGGCCGCGCCGGGGGGAGGTGGCGGCGGCGGATCCGGGCCCGGCGGAGGCGGAAGGGGCGGGCGGACGTGGCCCTGACTCTGCGGGACGCGCGATGCTGGTGAGTGCAGGGAGGCCGCGGCGTTGTGTCGCAGCGAGGCCTGGCCCGGCCCGGCCCGGCCCGGCCCGGCAGGACGCGAAGGCGGCGGCGCGGGGCCCGGCACTGAGTCACGCCGCGGGGACCGGGGGAAGGGGCGGTCGGGCCCGGCCCGCCCGCCCGCCTTTCTTCTCCCGGGGGCGCTGCCGGCCCGGGAGCGCGGGGGCGGCGGCGGTGGCCGCCCGGGCCGCTCGTGGATCCGGCCCCGGAGCCGCGGGCCGGGCCGGAGCGGGGAGGCCGCGAGCTGCGCACTCAGCACGCATCGCCCCCGGCGGGGTGCGGGAGCGCCCCGCTGGCCGCCCCGGCCCCGCAGGAGCTGCCCGACCACCGCGGGGCTGCCCGCTCCCTCCCTCCCTCCCACCCCGGCCTTCCCCCGTGACCGCGGCCCCCGCATGGCTAGGGCGCCTCGGTGCCTGCCCCAGCCTTTCCGTCCCGCCCCGGCGGCTCTCGGACCTCGGGCCCGTCCTCCCGCAGCCCTCGCTGTGCCCCAGTCGGCCCCGGGACTGCCCACCCCAGCCATCCCAGGCCCTGCTCCTCCCACGCCTCTCCCCTCTTTTCTCCCTGCGAGCTTTTGTCCGTAACCTCACCGGGCACTGTTTTGGGGAGTTCACCTGCTCTCTGTCCTCCCTGTCCTTTCCTGTGCTGCTTCCTTTCACCCTGTTCATCCCACCAATCCCCATAGCCCTGGTGATACTCAGGTCTGTCTAGGAGCTATTTGGTTGTACCTGGAGACATTCCCTAGTGCTCTCACGTACCATCGTGGCTGGGGGATCTTTGCCACAGTTCATCTTGGTCAACTTCTCTAGGTTTCTCTTGCTCTCAAGGACTGTGCGCCGGGTTTCCCCTTGTTGCCACCTACTGTTGTAGGTGCCCCGTAACCCTTTGTTTGTCTGTGTACTTATTGTCTCTAAACAGATGACTATCTTGCATTTTTTGTTTCAAATAACCAGCTCATTTGTTTCCCAGTAACTTTGCCACTGCAAGCTAAGTGTGTCCTGATTGGGGTCCTTTCCCCATCCTTCTTGTTTCCTCTTGAAGTTATATTCCAGCACTGTCATTACCCCTCTGTTACCTTTCCCCTTCCAGTTTTCTTCTGCCCAGTAACCGTTTCCTTCTTCATGCTTTTTTGCCCTTCTGATCTTACTTTCCTGTCATTAAAGCCTTCCTTGTGATCTCACCTAATACTCTTTTCTTTGCACATACTCCTTTCCTCTGTAGATTCATATACTGTCTCCCTCACTTTGTATTTAAATGCTCTATCTATGCCTTTGAGGAGAAGGGAATTTTACCCTAGGTTATCTGAATACTTGTGTTCTGGTTTCAGCTGGCATAGCGTTAAACACTGAAAGGACAGAGATTAATTACTTGGTTTACCTTATTTTGTTTTGATTTTTTACTGTCTTCTTTAGCAACTTTTCCCTTGGTATATGTGTTCATATATAATCACTTACCTCAGCCCTAATACAGACACATGCCCTGATGCTACTCGGGGAGAAAAAAATCTCTATTGGAAATCCTTTTGGGAGGACTGGGAAGAATCGTCCATGGAAGCCAGAAATATGTGGTGGCTACATAGCTTGAATTAGGCTAAATAATGTTTGTAATACCATATTGTGAATTGGTACTTAATTGGTGTGGAGTGTATTTGGGATACCTCCTCTTTGGGGAAGTAGCAAGATACTGTACAGGTACCATGGTACGTAGTTTTTACTCACAATGAACTGCTGTAATGTCGTGTGTTGATGATTACATGTCTGTGTGGCATCGGCACTTTGAGTTTCTGATGGTGACTTGACCAGAAAGAAGCCTTCTCCATCTGCTTTGTAACTTCTTGTTTTTAGTATTTATTGTCCAACTTCTTATTTTGTGTCTGTCTTAGTTGGTTTGGTTCTTAAGATTGGTTACATTTCACAGCCACCTCATGACCACATGTTTGAGGTGCAGTTTCAGCACTGGACACACTTGCCCTGTGGAGGCATGGTGAGCACATTTGATCTCGGGATTAATTCATACACCTAACTATAGAATCCCGGTTCAGTGCCTTGTGTTAATAGCGTCTCTGGAGGAAACTTTCCATTGCTTAGCCAGGGATCATATAGAAATATAGTCTTAGTTTGGGCACCTAAATTAGGCATATGTGTTTTACTCCTTAGCTGACAAAGTAGCGGTGGTGGTTTAGCAAAATGATTCTTCTTCCACCTTGCTCCTTTGTACACTGCTTTGAACTGGCCTTAAAACTTGGGCCCATTGCTCAAACCATGAGAAAATCACATTGCTTTATTGCTTTATTAAATAACTTAAATTCATTTAAGATAAATGGATGCACACCCTTATTTGGATACTACTCTTTTTTGATTTAGCTTATTTGTAGTCTTGGTGCAAGCTCTTGGATTTTAGAAGTAGTATTATAAAAACAATACTGAGTCCTTAGAGAAAGTTCTCAGATAGCTTAAAAAGTGTTATCCTACATACAACTTTTGTGTTAACATTTTGGAGTACTGATTTTCATCTGTTGTATTTCTTAGATATTGCCTAGTTTTGTGTAGTTACAATTATTTCAGTAGGGCCTAACTTAATGATGAGTCATATCTCAGGTGCCAGTGGTTGCATGGATTGGAAATACCTGGAATCTTCTCTCTTGCCACTGAAGTTTGATTTTTTTTTTTTTTTTAATTAATCAAAAACCCCACAAAATGTTAGTTTTAAAGATGCTCCACTTATTCCACTCTCAACATCAAAAATCTGTATTATTAGCATGAAGTGAGGAATTTCCTGGTAAGAGGTCAGTGTGGCACCAACTGTACTGTTGTACTTCCTGTGCTGTCCAACAGGGTCTGTTTCTGTGCATCAGAAGGAAAACGGAGCAGAAATCCCACTTGGATGGGAGATCAGGAGGATGTGCAGAGGCAGTCATAGCAGCCTGCAGCTTGGTGCAGTCTTCCTGCTGCACAGACCTGGAAGAAAGAAGAGTATGGAAAACTTGGCCTTGGAAGTTCTGCATGTGCTTTAGGAATGCATGATCTCATTTTAAATTGAATACTTAGGTGCTAGCATGTTTTTTAGGTAAGAGTACTCTCATAGGAAAATTTTAGCTAACTGTATTTTTCAAGCTTATCTCCATGTAAGAAGTGGGTGTTGGAACCAACATTTAGAGGTCTGGTTACAAATTATAATCTATTCAGCATGCAAACTTAAACAGCTATTTTTTTGGTTTGTTATGGAGACCACTTGAGTTTCCCTTGCTTGATAAAAGAGAATTTTCAGTAAGAAAATATAATTCTTGGAAAATTACAGAGACATGTTGAACTTGTCTACATGAGTAACTTACTGTTTTATTGTAAGAGTTGTATGTTTTTCAGTAGAAGAACCACTAGAACAAGAGCAGATTGGCAGTTCATGTTTCTACAGCGCTGCAGTCCTGACCTGTTACAGGTGTGACTAAATGACTGGATAATAAAATTGCTCTGAACTGATGTGCCCTGTAATAGTGCTGTAACTTGCAGCTTTTAATATAACCACAGATTTAAACACTCCCTGCCTTATCCCAGCTTCTGGAAAGGTCACTGCTTTAGGAAATTATCTGTGTCCCAGTGAGTAGTTCTCTGTCAGTTTTCTCTTTACCCACAGAACCTCTTGATGTCACAAGAGAGAACGTCTTCCTGTTGCTGCCTTACCTCTTGTAAATGATACAAGTCAAAATCAAATATGTATTTTTTTAACTAAACCAAACATTGATTACATTCCACTTTAATTAATGTAGTGTTTTTCAACTCCTTCTTTATCTATGAACCTTCGAAAAATGAAGGCTACTGTGAAAATAGAAAAATAGTAATTTAATTTCGTACTTCAGGGAATGGGTAAATTTCATATGTAAATATGTTCATATGTCATATGTAAATTTTTGCCAGAGTTGGTGTCTCTTTCTCTCCAAAATTTCAGTACTTTCTTTGCCAGTAGTATCCTGAACTTGTAAAAAGAAGTAGGTGATTCTCATTCTGTTTTGTTCTGTGGTAACTCTTACCTGGAGCACTGCATCCAGCTCTTTGGCATCCAGCACAAGAGAGGCATGCAGTTATTAGAGTAGATCCTGGGAGGGCTACAGACATGACCAGACTGATGGCACACCTCTCCTATAGCTGAGAGAGTTGAGGTGGTTCAGCCTGGAGAAGAGAAGATTCCAGGGTGACCTTATTGAGGCTTTCATTTAGTGTATAAAGGGGGATTATGAGAAAGATAGAGAGAGACTTTTTGCAAAGACCTGTAGTGGCAGGACAAAGGACATAAATTTTAAATGGAAAGAGGGTAGATTTAAATTGGTTATAAGGAAGGAATTATTTACTTTGGTGGGTGGTGAGGCATTGGAACAGGGTAACCAGAGAAGTTGTGGGTGCCCCATTTCTGGCAGTGTTCAAGGCCAGGTTGGATGGGGCTTTCAGCATCCTGATCTAGTGCAGTATGTTTGTCTGTTGTAGAGGGGTGGTTACTAGGTGATGTTTAAAGGTGCCTTTCAAGCCAAACCGTTTTATGGTTCTTGAGTAAACAGTGTAACTTCAATATGATGTTCTTCCAAAATCCCAGGAAAAGAATTTGCATTATCTCCTTTTCTTCTCCTTTGGATTGTTCTGGTTTTGGAATCAAAAGGTTCCCTGCTTTAGTTTGGTCTAATGCATACAAGGCATTGCTTGACAGTAGGACTAAGAATAAAGGATTAAGAAAATACATTTTCTCTGACATCTTTGTAGTTATGCTCTAGATTTGAATATCAGTTCAATACCATTGACTTCTGTTTTTCTTTAAATTACAAGTACCTAAAGTTGATAGAAAATTCTCCTTGTCTTTGGATTTCATTAGATTTGCTCTAGTTTATGTTGCTGTATTTCTCAAGTTGGTGTTATTGTGTACAAGAAATGGATTTACATGTAGCATGGTGAGGATCATGGTGATGGAAAGTTTCTGCAGTGCAGGGAGCTCCTCACTCTGCTCTGATAATGTACTTATCTTTTCAAGACATGCACATGCTTTTCCTATTTTATTTGAGACCGGTGGCTTTGCTACTGGGACCTGGATGTATTTGATTCATTACTATACAAGGAAGAGAAAAAGATAAGTTTATACATTTGAAGCAGGCAGCTACAAAAATTTGGGTTATTAGTAAGGCAATTTCAGACATAACTGAAGTCAGAAACTTCTTGTATTTTTAATTTGCATTTGATGTAACTTGACTTTTTGTTCCTCTGTGTTTCAGGTTGGACAATATCTTAATGTGGATTAGAGTTCAGAGCTGAGGCTGGTGGTGTGACCTTAGTTCACCCTGTTTTGCTATGTAATTTAAACTTAATTTCATATGTAAATTTGCAAGCTCCTTTAGTCTCACAGGTGGTGGAGACTGTCATTTGGAAACTATCTAAAGTTTGGAGGACTGCATTAGGGGAAAAAAGAGGATTTTAGGAAATAGTTCATAGTTTGTTAGCTGTTAGTCTTTTCATCTTGCTTTTCATGGTAATAATTTCATGGGCAAATGCTCTGCTTCTGGGTAGAGAAAGGATAAACTTTTCACTGTACAATTGAAAATGCTTTTTTAGAATGTTTGCTTTTTTTAAAGAAAACAGAATGTTCTCTTACTCTTTTTTTTCAGAGATAACTTTTGAAGAAGTTTTGTTGTTTCTGAAAGTGTGCCTATGCTAGGATGCTGTCACTAATAGGAGTTGTATAAAATCAAAGTTTATATCCTTTAGTAGTTAAATTGATTTTGTTACATTCTATTGCAGGCTTAGCTTTAATTACTGGTGCAAGCTTAATCAAAAAGAAGGAGGATTTAAATGCGGGTGTTAGGGTTGTGTGGCAATTTTAACTTTTACAAAATTAAGTTAAATTTTTTCACTTCTATACCAAAGGTGCCTGTTGCAGTTATTAGAGATCAAAACTGATTAAAATTTCCTGAAAATTATACCAAGTTTTTTAAGTAGAACTAACTTTTTGTGAGGTATAAATTCTTTGCTAGAAGTTAAGGCTGCTAGAATTCAGACTTTGGAATTGAACCAGAAGAATTACATACAGATCCCTTTCTGGATTTTAATGAGAAGGTGCTCATTCTTTTTTGGGTTGACAGTAGGCATCTGGAATGAAATATATGAAAGGTGTACTGTTCATTGCCAACAGTGTTTGCAGCATTACGCCACAGTCAGAATCAAGATCACTAGCACATATCCATACACTTAATGTAAACACTATTTAAAAGCAAAATATAAAATAAAGAGGGAGCGGCTTTCGCAGGTTGTGATTTTGTTACATGCAGGAAATGAATGTAAGTAACTGCAACAGTCCTTAATTTATCCCTTATTTGTCACTTCAGTATGAAACATTAGTATAAAGGACGTTATGGGAAGAAACTCTGCAGTATTTAAGCTGTGCTCTTGTAGTGCATTCAGATGTCTGAAAATAGCACTGTTTGCAAGATTAATCAGTGTGACCATCATCTTTATTTATAAATTGAAGGGGCAAATTGGACTGCCTTGATCAATCAAGCTCGTGCACAAATAACAAGAGGGAAGAAGTTGTAAAATTAGCAAGCTGTTGGGAAGAGATTCCAGCCAGAATTGGTTTTTGCTTGTTAGCAACATGCTAATGTTTTTTTTTAAGTTATTTGTAAGAACTACTGCCTTCCAAGAGCATGGAAAAACTCTGGAAATATTATTGCAGGTGAAAATTCCTGTTTGTGTTTTTAACAGGGCAGTATGAAAGTGTATTTTGCAGTGCATTGAGTGCTGTTATAATGTTGGGGGATTTGTGTTAGGGTTCACATACCATGTCTGAAGCAAACTGTAAGACAACACTGTTTTCTTGGTGGAGATCAATAGGATTATGATGCTTTAGCTTACTAAGTTGGATTTAGTTTAAGTTTTGATGTCTGGTAAGGTCTTTTGGGAAAACAGTTATGAATAAGAATTGTCCTTGCAGGATCATTATGGTCTCCAAACTGGCCCAAGGTATTTCAGAGTTTCCAGCCCTTCTGTGTTTGTTCTTTCTAAATTGTGTTGGATTTAACTCCTTTTGCTGTTGTTTTTGGGGTTTTTTTGTGGGTTTTTGGGGTGGTGTTTGGTTGGGGGGTTTTTTGTGTGGTTTTTTTTTCTCCTTTCTAAGGAAAAAAAGATACATTACTTTATCTTCTGCTTGGAATGTTGGGTAGCTAGCAATTTTCATGGCTTGTCCTCCCTCATTTTCCTTGTCTTCATCTTCCTGACTGATTCAAGAAGTGCATCTTCATGTGCGTTATCCTTCATTATTTATGTTTATTTGGGCTTCATTGAGCTTTGTTTAGTCTTTTGCTTTCTTGTTTGTTGTGTTTTTTGTTTGGGTTTATGCAGGTTGTGTTGTATATATGATTTAAGCCAGAGAGAAAGTGAGAATACTCAAGGCTCTTTATCTTAGGGTGGTGGTTTAACCCTGGTGGCATGCCAGGCAATTACCAAAGCCCCTCCATCATTTCCCCCAGGTAGACAGTGGAGGACAAATACAATGAAAGACTCATGAGTTGAAACAAGGAAAGGGACAGATTTCTCATTGATTTACTATCAGCGGCAAAACAGACTGGTCTTGGGCAAATTAATTGAATTTGTTATTAATCAAAATCGGAGCATGAAAAGTAAAACAATTTTTTTAAAACACTTTCTCCCCACCTCTCCCTCCTTGGGTTCTACCTCCTCCCCACCAGCAGCACAGGGAGACAGGGGCCTGAGGTATGGTGAGTTCACCACAGACTGTTTCTAGCACTGCTCAGGTAGAAGAGTCCTTCCTCTGCTCTGACACAGATCTTCCCATGGGAGACAGTTCTCCATAAACTTATCTTGCATCAGTTCTTCCCATGAGCTACAGCTCTTCATGGACTGCTTTGATGTGGGTCTCTTTGCACAGGGCGCAGTCCTCCAGGCACAGCCTGCTCCAGCATGGTCATAAGTCCTGCCAGGAAACCTGCTCCAGCATAAGCTACTCTCTTCATGAGTCTGCAGGGTCCCTGCCATGAGCCTAGTCCAGCATGGGATTCCCATGGACTCACAGCCTCCTTTCAGGCATCGTCCTGCTCTGACATGGGTCTCCTCCATGGGCTGCAGTGGAAATTTGCACCCCTGTGGACTTTCGTGATGTGCAAGTAGGTCTCTGCATCCCTGTGGTCCTCCATGGGCTGCAGAGGCAGAACTGTTTCACCATGGTCTTCACAGGCTGCAGGAGAATCTCTGCTCCAATGCCTCGTCCTCCATTGACCTTGGTGTCTGCACAGTTTCTGTCACATATTCTCATTCCTCTCTTCTATGGGTGCAATTACATCTGTGCAATAATTTACTTCCCTTCTGCCATCTCTGGTTGGCACAGCCTTGGCCAGTGGCAGATCCATCCTGGACCTGGCTGGCATTGGCTGTCTTGGACTTGAGGGGAGC